CTGGTGTGTGCCCAGGTATGGGGCATCTCCCACCTCTCTGGGCAACCCGGGCCAGGGCCTCACCACCTTCAGCGTGAAAAATTTCTTCCTTATATCCAGTTTAAAAGGATCAGGAGGACTTTCAAAAAAGCTTATTTGGGCAAACAGGTCCATTTCCCAGCCAACTTCAGATACATTTAAAGAAAGTTGTTACAACAATAAACTGAAGTGACAACACAAGGCAGATCCATCACCCAGCAGAGATGTCCGTTGTGCCTTGAGGTCGGTACCCTGGCACTAACAAGGAAGGAGGCTGACAACACAGCTGGAGAGGGGCTGGTGACAAGGGCCTGGGGTGATGGGACAAGGGGTGATGGCTTCAAGCTGAGAGAGGGGAGATTTAGATGAGGTAGAATGAAGAAATTCTTCCCCAGGAGGGTGGTGAGGCCCTGGCCCAGGCTGCCCAGAGAAGCTGTGGCTGCCCCCTCCCTGGCAGTGCTCAAGGCCAGGTTGGATGGAGCTCTGAGCACCCTGGACTGGGGGAAGGGGTCCCTGCTCCTGGCAGGGGGGTTGGAATCAGATGATCTTCAAGGTCCCTTCCAACCCAAACCATTCTGTGATTCTGTGATTCTAACATCAGCCTATTTTGTGTTTCCCAGTAAAAATAAGAAGTTGTACAACTCACAGAGCAGAATTTGGGGAGCTGTTTAATGACGGGGCGCCAGGTCTTTCTGCAAGCTGCCTTCTGCTGGCACTAGAGCAAGCACAAAGCCAGAGCCACCGCACAGACACAAGAGCCTTCCTAGAGTTTTTTTACATTAGGAATGTTTCTCATCTAGCTTCTACCTTACCTTTTAGATCATAACAGGTCATTTTCTTTAAAGTCCACTACATTACACCTCAGGAATATTCGCTAACAGAGAATGAACACCAAATGACAGACAGTCTTTGCATTGCTGACAAGCGTTTCAAATCCGTTCCGCAGCCAGGCAACTAAAATGGTAGCAGGGGATGCGAATGAAACATTGCCTGCCTTGGCTCCAGAGCTGCTGACGGCAAGCAAAGCAGTTCTGTGAGATATCAAATGCACCGGTGTCCAAGAACAACGTCCAAAAGATCCTTCATAAGAGTCCAGCGGAGGGCTACAAGGATGGTGAGGGGACTGGAGCATCTCCCCTACGAGGAGAGGCTGAGGGAACTGGGCTTGTTCAGCCTGAAGAAGAGAAGGCTGCGAGGGGACCTTATAAATGCTTACAAATATCTGAAGGGTGGGTGTCAGGAGGATGGGGCCAAGCTCTTTTCAGTGGTGCCCAGTGACAGGACAAGGGGCAATGGGCACAAACTGAGGCACAGGAAGTTCCGTCTGAACACGAGGAAGAACTTCTTCCCTCTGAGGGTGACGGAGCACTGGAACAGGCTGCCCAGGGAGGTTGTGGAGTCTCCTTCTCTGGAGATATTCAAGACCCGCCTGGACAAGGTCCTGTGCAGCCTGCTGTAGGTGACCCTGCTTCGGCAGGGGGGTTGGACTAGATGACCCACAGAGGTCCCTTCCAACCCCTATTATTCTGTGATTCTGTGATTCTGTGATTCCACAAGAACAGAGCTGCTCCTGCTCTACCATCTGTTCAGAGCCCTACTGTGCACAGAAAGTAATAAAGAGAGCTCAAAGCTGCCGTATGGGGACCGGCCGATTTACGAGCTGCACGCGTTTCAGCACTATTCTTAGCAAACTGAAGTCCTCCACGGAGGGAGCAGTCTCTGCTCAGAAGCTTGAACTAAAACAAAATATTTTAACACGCCAAATGATTTTATTGCCATAAGACTTGGCTCCAAGGATACCAGGGTTGGTTTGCAAACATGCAAGCAAACGCTAGCTGCTCTAAAAAGAAAAAGAGATCTCAGCATGAAGCCAGAAGACCCACTGCAAAGAACATTTCTGCAGCGTTAGTACACAGGTCGCTGCTGCTGATCTCCAGCTGGCCTACACACGTGTGGTCATCCAGCAGCGACCTTTCCCATTTTGCTGACACGCCGAACACATCGCACAACTGACCGAAATCTCCTCAGCGAAGCCACCTCACGTGCGCTTTGGGAAGCTGTTGGTCCCGCTGTTGCCCCCCAAAGTTCCCTACTTCAAGTTCAGGGGCTGCTGCTGCGGCTTGGCCCCCATCAAGCCGCCCATCAGCAGCCCGCATTAAACCTTCCCGTGGTAAGGTCGCACCTTTCTGCAGCAGCCTGGCAGGGGCTCAGCGACCCAGCAGTCCCCAGCAGCATGAGGGGCTACAGAATCGCAGCGGCTACAGCATCACAGAATGTTGGGGGTTGGAGGGGACCGGGTCACCCACAGCAGGCTGCACAGGATCTTGTCCAGGCGGGGCTTGAATATCTCCAGAGAAGGAGACTCCCCAGCCCCTCTGGGCAGCCTGGGCCAGGGCTCCGTCACCCTCAGAGGGAAGAAGTTCTTCCTCGGGTTCAGCTGGAGCTTCCTCGGCTTCAGTTTGTGCCCGTTGCCCCTTGTCCTGTCGCTGGGCACCACTGCAAAGAGTCTGGCCCCATCCTCCTGACACCCACCCTTGAGATATTTATAAACATTTATTAGGTCCCCTCTCAGCCTCCTGTTCTTCAGGCTGTTCAGATCCTGCACTGTATGGCATCCTTGCCAGGAACAGGAGCTTAAACACAAAATTAACAACCCTCTCTCAAACGCAAGGTCTATTTCATCCACTTAAAATGTTTGAACTTTATTTCAACAGACATAGTGCAGAGATTTAGATGCAGCCCAGGTCCGAGGGGTTACCTCCAACACTGCTGGAAGAGACCAGCTTCCCTTTGTCACCGACCGCTCCGGCACCGAAGGGCAGACACTTCAGGGAATGGCTGCGAGTACACCGGTGAGTACTTGGAAAATAAATATAAAGGCTCTGACGTGAGCTGCAAGGAGAACCTTGGTCCGACAGGTTCTCATCAGCAAGCGCTCCTGGTGAGCCACGTCCCTGTGTTTGGCAACAAACGCCGTTCTCAAGGCCAGCACTTCATCTCCAACCAACTGCGCTGGTAAGGGGAACACGGCAGCGGGTTCTGGGGGAGAACGGCACCCCACAAGGGACCGACAGCCAGCGGCAGCCTTCGGGGACGGTGGTTTGAGCACTAGTCACAAACTGGGGACTCTGCAGCCATCTGCAGGTACACAGCACTCAAAGTTTTGAGGGCTTGGGTGTTTTTTTTTTTGTTTCACACAAGCAGGACCTCTTCCTCTTCAGCTTCCAGATCCTCCCATGCCAGGAACACGGCAACACCAAACAGTCACCAAGAGAAGCACAAACTTTTAACCTCTTTTAGCTTCATTCAGTTTCTTTTCAGCAGCAGTCTGCGATACCTTTTCAATATGTTTTTGGAGATTAGCAGTGGCACTTGAGACATCCCTGCACCCCACCTCTCTTTCCAGGTCAGACATGGTCCTGTAAAACCGAACCACTCTGCACATCTCGAAAGTGCTACGGTAGAACAACAAAGCCTCCTTAGCAGCCTGACACAATATCTTGAATTACAGGTCTAAAAAAGTGAAAGCTAACCTCGTCTTAAGAGCACATACTGCATTTTCCCGTCAAAACAACATAAATACGCACTGACGAGTCGTCCTCTGTTGGAAGGGATCGAGAGCAGAGCGCTCCAACTGTTGTAAGCTCAAGCTGAGCAAATTTGATCAGATTAGACCTTTGAAACAGCAAGAATAGTTAAACACAGGAACAACGCATTTACAACGCCACTGAAATCTTTATTACCCATTTTTAAGATAAGACAAATTGATTTAAGGCTTGAGAGCACTCAAGTGGTTTATCAACTTGTTGAATATGGGTACAGTTTTATGGTCTACGCCACTATATCAAAATAAAGCACCACAACGCTCGCCTCTGTCCCTAAAGCTTTTAATTACCACTGAGATACCAGGTGATCAGAATGGAAGAGATTGTGAGCCACCTCTCAAACAGCACCTTGTGCTGCTTTGTTGCGTGTTCCTAAGCACCGAGAGATTCACCCAATAAGTAGAATCGTAGAATCATAAGAATTATTAGGGTTGGAAAAGACCTCTAAGATCATCGAGTCCAACCATCCACCCAACACCACCATTCCTACTAAACCATGTCCCCAAGTGCCACATCCACACGTTTTTTAAACACCTCCAGGGATGGGGACTCCACCACCTCCTTGGCCAGCCTGGTCCAAGGCCTGACCAAGTCAGCGGGAAACCTCCTCTTCTGAAGAGAACAGGCATGGATTGACACTCTTCACAACACAGGCTACAGAAGCAAAACGTCTGAGGAAAAAAATCACCGCGAAATAATAAAAGATTCTGTAAGTGGTGGACCAAAGAAGATAGGAGTACTTTCAACAGTTTTCAGAACAACTTCAGTTTATGGCATTGTAATCAGTTACAAATATTTCCGACTTGGTATGTAAATCCAACCAGAACCCTACCTGGCATGACCTTAGGCTCCTAGCAAGCATTCCGTGGCAAAGACAAGCAAAGACCCTCCTGCTGATGCCCACAATCACAGAACCACAGAATGGTAGGGGTTGGAAGGGCCCTCTGGGGATCCCCGAGTCCAACCCCCTGCCCAAGCAGGGTCACCCACAGCAGGCTGCACAGCACCGCGGCCAGGCGGGGCTGGAAAATCTCCAGAGAAGGAGACTCCGCAGCCTCCCTTGGCAGACTTGGCCAGGGCTCCGTCACCCCCAGAGGGAAGACAT